AACGCGCACGCTATGATCTTCGCGTTTCGGGGAAACAAGAAACAACGATGAAACGCAAGGCCCCTGCAAATTCCTGTTCCTGTTTTTTTTTTTTCTTCTTCAGCAATACCGTTGGGTGCATGGGTGCTTATGCTATAACTGTTGCATGCTTTCAGTGACTTAACGGTATTTTTCTATGATATTATTTTTGTCACCCCCTCTTCTTGTCAAAACTATTTCTGTATCCACCCCTCCCCCAAATGTTGTCAAAAATGTTTTCTACATTAAAAAAAAAAAAAGGAGATTGTGTGAGCGGGAACACAGGCTTAAAACCAACTATTTATTCATTTTTTTTTTTTTAGAGTATCTCGATCCCCGGGGGTACTCTCTTGAATTTCAGAATTATACTAAGAAAAGTAATCAAATATGTTTCGTCCCAAATGTACATAATTCCTGCAGCTACTGACACCTCTGTCTATCCCCCCCCCCCCCCCCCCACACACACACACACACATACACTTTCTTTTTTTATGGGCGCGCAACAAATATTAAAGAAAAAGAGAGAAAAAAAAAAAGCCCACTGGGTTGCACGAAGGCTTGCCGCATAGAGCGAAGCGTGATGAATCGTCGCGAACCACCTGACACTGCACGGCAAATGGAAGGCTCCGCTGATTACGATTTCGAGCAACAAAAAAAGGGAACGATTGCTCGGCAGCTGCGCTGAACTGAGTACCGCCATGATTCGAGGCCTGGGCGCAGATTTGAAATGGCAAGCGCCCGCCGAGACGATTCCTCGTGCGCCGCTCTCTCGACGGGTCGAAGCGTGCAAAGAGACGCCAAATGGGCTCGCTCCAAGCCGCAAGAGCGGGAACATGGCCGAGTGCTGATCGAACATTCTGAAGAACCGGACATCGGGCACGAAGGAGCGAGACGCACTCATTTAACGTGGTACCCTGGAGCATCGTATCGTCTGTGTGTGCGCTTTAAAATAAGTAGCCAAGTACCGTTACTCCCTCACGTTGCCGAGCCTGAAAATGAGAGCGTTACTTCACACCAAGCGTGACGCGTTACATTTCTGCTCACTTTTAGAGTTTGGAGTAAGTGTGGACCGACATTAAGCTAGAATATGGATACGGTACAAGAAGCAAAACAGCTAAGCCGTCAGCTAAACAGAAGAAAAAAATAACCCCTTGATTTTGTTTGTTCTCGCGTTCGCAAGAGGCAATAGGGACTGTTAAGGCGGGTTCAGACACTTGCGTTTCAATGCGTTTGACTGCGTTGCGTCGAGAACCGAAAGCGAGTCACCGGCACATCTGTGCTTCGTAAGAAGCGTGGAATCGAATTTAAGGAATCATCTTGGCACGCGATATAAGTTGCAGGGATGTCCTGGTTTCTCGCTGCCGCAACGCAGTCAAACGCAGTCAAACGAAACTGTCTGAACCAGGCTTTAGCAAACCGTTACCGTGTTCCGCACTACTGGAAACTTTAAAACATGCGTCTAAGCACGTGCTCGGAGCGATACCGTGCCCACAGAGCGCGCGCTTAAAAGCATGCTGCCAGTGGCGTACCAACTTGTTTCTGACGGGGGGCGGTGCCTTTGGTATTCCTTGGGCGCCAACAGCCAGTGTTTGACCTGCCCAGCGGCGGCTGTTTCCGAGGGGGGGGGGTCAAAACACATGCCTTGCCCCCCACTCTGAAAACTGGAGGGGGCGGGGGGGGGGGCAAGCGCCTCCTTGCCCCCCCCCCCCCCCCCCCCCCTCCGGTTGGTACGCCCATGCATGCTGCCCCAAAGGCTCCAGGATAGTGCGGCACGCGGAACAGGGTAACGATTTGCTAAAAGTCCCCATCTATAATTCGAAACATTCGTACAAATGTAGACCTTTCGTCGCTTGTCCTTCGGGAGCATATCGATCGAGACACAGTGGGAGTCGCGGTGAAAACAGCGTGGTCGTGTAAACGTTCCTCGTACGAACGAGCTAAATACCTCCGTATTTAGTCAATACGCAACGTAAATAGATCACGAGTTTCCGTTGGAAGAAATTTCTGATTTCTTAACAGAAAAGATATAACTACATGCAGAGCGTTACGCAAAAGCGTACCTATATGTATAGACCAGGCACGTAGCCAGAATTTTGTTTCGGTGTCATCCCAATCAGGCTGAAGTGTCCATTCGGCTGACGGGTCAATTCGGCTGACCAGACCAATTTGGCTGGAACGCTCCAATTCGGCTGGATGCCCAATTCGGCTAGAATCTCCAATTCGGCTAGAGCACTCCAATTCGGCTACACGCTTCAGTTCGGCTGGACCACGGGGGGGGCCGGGCCCCATGCCCCCCCCCCCCCCCCCCCCTGGCTATGCAATCAGCTACCTCAAACAAAACGCCCGAGTCATGTGAGCGCACGTCATGTGCATGTCTTTATAGGCGGTGAGCACACGCCACGTGAAAGAGCCGCCTCTGATCGGTTGAAAGATCAACAGCTTCATCCAAAAGAACAACAACTGTTTTTTTAGAAAGCTTATTGGCCCGAACATCGCTATTCTGGTCTCGCGGCCAGGATTGTTTTATCGGATCAACAGGGTCGGACAGCCGATGCGGAAAGTCTTCTCCCTCTTTTTTGCTTGCTTGTGCAGTCGGACCGGCAGGACAGAATTTTTCCTCCGTCCTCTAAAGAAGCAGCAGCAGCACGGCGTTCGAGGCGGAAAAACGAAAGCGAATCTCGCGAAGGAAACAGAAAGGGAGATGCGTGCGGGAGCGACCTTGTAGCGCCGGTTTCCTACTCCGAGCGCCACGGGCAACCGCTACCTCCCGCAATGTATTTTAGTTTCGTTCACTATATTTGGGCTTGCACGTGGCTGAATGAGACGCCGCCGCTTTAATTATTCCCCCGGTGCAACTGTGGAGCGAACTAAAAGGGCACGACGCGGACCCCGCCAACGGGTCGGGGTCGACACAACGTGACCGAGGGTAATTCATTCAGACGCGCGTCCAATCGGAACACGAAGAGGGTCTCCCGTCACCAAACCAAAACATGGGTGTTTTGGTTTGTTCCACTGCCATTTAATCGAAGAACGACTGAGCGAACGATGTTTCGTCAAAGGACATTTCATTGAACAATAGTTCATCAAATGGCTTTTGATCAATTAGTCCTTGAACTACGTATTGGCATTGACAAGAACGACGACAAAGCTGTCATTCTTGCCCAATTTGCTGACGCCCTCGCATTAATGCGTTCTAACGTCTAGCCCCTGGTTAGCTCTGTTGGTAGAGCGCTCCACTGGAAATGGAGAGGTCTCTGGTTCGACACCAGGACCAGGCGGATTTTTTTGGTCGCGCACCAGTCACCTATACCTGTTTTCACCTCAAGAACCATAGGAAAAAAAGTCCGGCTTCTCGCGGATGATTACTAATTTTCAGCTTTAGGTGGAGATTTAAGATATATTTATTAGCATTTTAGAGTGGATACACGTTATCTTATCAAGGAGTACACGTTTCAAACGCCAAAAGCAACGCCTGTGCCTCCGACAAACAAATCTGGCGAGAACTATTTCGCGCGGCGTATGAACAATGCGCAAAACTTACTGTTTTCTTGAGGTGAAAACGGGTATAGTTGTGTTTGGAGATTTGTGTTTGTCCTTTGTTCATCTTCTCCGGGGATTATTTTCGTTTTACTCAACGTTTGAACGAACCGCGTTTCGCCTAAGAAAGATATTTAGTAGAAGACGTATCGACCGAGAACTTTTCATCGAATGTCGCTTCATCGAACAACATAAAAGGCTGTTGTAAAATAGCGTATGCGAAAGGTTTGCGTATGCAAATATCGTCGTCGCCACTACGCATGCGTGGAATGCAAACCGCAGTTTGCGCCTTGCGTGCGAAATTTCAGCGTGCGCTATTTTTTTCGTAAATTGCGCGCGTATACAAAGAAGGTTTCCGCTCTTCCGAGCAGGATCCGTGAGGCGCGACAAGTTGGCTAAAGCCAATAAAAGCACAATTAGAAAATGGCGGCTCCCAGGAGGGCGGCTGTAGCCGCTTTGGCGGTCGTCTTGAGCCCGACGTCGGCAGTATCCTTGAGACTGCGATTTTCAATACAGGAAAGCATTGCACTCCTACGGGAGGTGCACGTCAGAAACGGTTGGGAAGACTCAGCAAGGTGGGCAACGATCGCCGGCAACTTGCCGCTTGCGGCGCGCAAAGGTTTCTCGGCGAAGGTAGGTACGGTGTGCGGAAGGTCAGTACACTAGCCTGTCTTGCCTAGGCGACGCAAGCGGACACGACCGCGTGACCGCACGCGTCGCGCTCTCATATTCAATCGAGTCTAAAATGTTAAAAACCTTTTTTTTTTTTTGTTATGCTTTTGTGTTTTTGTCGGTAATCCGAGCCCCGCAACTCCTGATAGTGGAGACCGGTCAACCCGGCACACTTATCGTTCATCGCTGCCCCGAGTTGACTGGCCTCGAAGCACGCAAATCGAACTCCCTTCACGAAGAAGAGCAAGTTCTACCAGCATTGTGACACGTACTCGGCCGAGGCAAAGGAAGAATCGAATGACACGGTCGAGGTATGGGTAGAAAGCGCATTGCAGAAATTGTGCCTGCATGCCGGGACGGTCGCTCTCCGGAGCACGTAGTACTTCGGACGGCGCTTTTATGCGAGGCACGCCATACTCGCCTTCGTAGCAGCGCAGTCCCGCAAATTCGAAATAATAATAAAATACCGGACAAGAAACTTGCGCGGGAACGCGAGTATCTCTTTTTCAATAACTGAGACTTTGCCACTGCCATAGTCACGCTATTTCTTTGAAAAAGAAGAAGAAAAAAAAAAATTAAGCGCAGTCATGTTCGTGCAAACTACGGATTCGCCGAGACCAAGAGATAAGCTCCGCTTCTGCTACCTTTCAAAGGGCCGATTTTATCTCACGACGCCTTGGAGACGTGCGTGGGTGGCATCGCGAGTGCGCACGGACGGACCGACGTGAAACTTGAGATGCCGACTCGGGCAGAGCGACGCGGGGCCGGCTTACCTTGGAAGGCGACCTGGCGAGCTTCTCGTTCAGTGCCTGGATCCAGGGTTCGGATACGAACTGATGCTCCTTGCGTCCCAGCAGCCAGGCAAGAATCCGGTTCGTCCACAGGACCGCGTCCGGGTCCGAACCGGTCGCGTGCACGGGAAACGAAGAAGTCAACACCTCGGCTTGGCTCCTCCGCGCGGCGGCACCCAGTTGTGCCGTGGCGGATCGCTGCGACGCGACGGGTCCCTCGACGTCGTCTAATCCGTCGTCCGGGGTCGCCTTGATCGTCGGCGCAGGGACCCGAGCCCGGCCCAGTCGGTTCGTGAGCACGGTGCCCACGAAGTACACGAGCAGGCCCACGATCGCCCAGCACAGCAGCATGACGTTGAGCACGTCCACCATCTCGTACGAGTCGTCGGTGTAGAAGAAGCGCGCCAGCCGCTCGTGCACGCCGGCCCAGGCCGCGTTGAGCCGGTGCAGGACCAGCTCGCTCGTGCTTTCCGCCATCGCGAAGGCCGTGCCGTGTCGACCGGCCGGAACGAATGCGTCTTGTGCGCGCCGGAAAACGGCCTTCGCGCCGCCGCCCGCCGCAAAAACACGATGAATCGCAGCGCCGCCTCTCTGCTGCTCTGCTATGAGGCACCGGCGCCGGCCCATTTGGTGGCGCCATCTATGGAGGGATCGAAATAATTATTCGTGTATACGGACGGAAACGATATGGTGTTGGGCGCGCTTCGGAGTCGGAGCTACGAGGCTTTGTGTTTTCGCCACGAGAGGACCCTAGATGTCCTTAGTCGTGTCACTGCCTCTATTCATTACCCGCGCGCGCGCGATTTAAATTAGCGGTTTGCCGGACCGCGCTCGGAGGAGTACCGAAACCTGCGTCGCGTCAGCCGAACAAACTTTCTGCACTTCTTTTCACGTGTGGATCCAAGAATCGCGCTACAAAATGAACCAGCGAAGGCGCAAAACACAACAATGCGCCATTTTTTTTTATTTTTTTTTTAAAATATTGTTTGCAAAACAAACATTTACTGTTGCTTGTGTAAAACCTTTTCAAGCCAATCTCCCGCCAAAAATCCGCTTGTGAACAGGCGCTTGACTACCGCGCGTCCCCGGACGAGTCACAGATCACAGGAATCGGTGACGTCGCCTAGCGCACGGTCCGCGGACGAAAATCGCGATTCGGTCCGTCGTGTGAATCGGCCAGTACTTGGAAATAAAACGAACACCTTACCTTTATCATTATAGATAAAAAGCAGTGTTAGCTGAAACGCATTACAAGTAACGGCGTTACCAATGCCGCGTTACTTTTTCGGTGACGTGGTAACGTACTAGTCACTTTTTTTTTCTTGAAACAGTAACGTGTTACATACGCCACTTATTACGAATAACGGGTGACGTAATTACGTTACTTGCTACATCTTGCCAAACCCTGAAAAAGTATACTTTTTTTTTCGTGTGTCTATACTTTGTTTTAAGTTCAGACGCGGCCGACGCTACGAGCCGATAGGACCAATCAGACGGCGTCAAAAGGGCACCATCACGGTGTTGGTGATGTTTCTGTTCGTGTTCTATCGTCGCTGCACATGAACCAAAAAAAAAAAAAAAGGCCCAGTGACTGGAGCTTTTAACGTTGCTTGGTCGGTCCCATTAGAGTTCCTGTAGAGGCTTCCTACCCGCTCATTCACACTGGAAGCGGACCCGCGTTCGCAAAGCGGTTGCGAACGCGGTTGTATTAATGTCATCGAGTGCGCGTGCAATTGTACTGGATCTTTATACAACCACGTTCACAACCGCTTTGCGAACGCGGATCCGCTTCCAGTATGAATGAGCGTTACGGGAGCCAGAGTTGCGCGACTGCTTTCCACTTGCCGCCGCGCCGCTTTTCGCCCAGATCGATCACGCGAGGAGCAAAGAATCCTTCGCCGTGCACGAAAGTCGCTTCGCCGACGTTGCACGCGCCCCGGTCTTTTTTTTTTATTTTTTTTTTTATTAGTTTGGGAAAATGCAAAAGAGGTTAGCCAGAAAATGCATTCCGGCTGGCTACTCAGCATGGGAAGGGGAAAAGAAAGGAAGATATCACTAAAAAGGCATACGTTATGGGTTGCTATACAAAAGCCAAAGTTCCGGTGTAGAACAATCAAGGTACAGCACGAGACTTGTACAGTAACAGGGGAGGACACTCATACATCACCGCACAGGAAGGTTCTAATCACATTGTATGTTCAACACATTCAGTCTTAGCATAAATCGTATATATAATGAACAGATTCCTTATACAGTCTGTATATTGAAAAGGTGAACGAATGTGTGTTCATATTGTGTCGAGGTCAGCTCACGTTTCGTGATTGTATTTCTTTTTGTTATGTCACAAGATTATTTACAATCGATATCTTAACAAGATTATATACAGTCGGCATGTTACAAGATTAAAGTCGGTGTGTTACAAGATTATTTACAATCGGTCAATCAAATTGGTCGTGTGAAGAAATGTTATTAATGCATCTAACACCCTTCGTTGATGCGGTTGTTGTTCCCAGGCACCTAAGACCTTCTCAAAACCGTATGGTTCGCTGGTAAGTTGTTGAATCCTGGTCAATAGTGTCAAGCGCTCTTCATTATATTTGGGACAACTAGAAAAAATATGGTTTAGATCTTCTTCCACGAGACACTGTTGGCAATTCGGGCTTGAAATGTGTCCATACTTATATCTTCGTTTATTCGTGTAGGCGACGTTCAAACGGATGCGGTGGTAGAGTGTTTCTGTGTTTCTTGGTAAATTTCGTGGAGATATATTGTCACAGGTGGTGACTAAAAACAATAGATAAACAGAAAGAAATAAACGTTTAATGTGGCGAACTTGTGCCAAAAAAATAAAAGAGTACAAAGGATAATAACAGAGCGTCGCAGGCGTCGAAGTCGGCGAAACCGCAGGATCGAGCGCTGGGGCGAGACTGACTCGACAAGGTCGCGAGCGGCGTCTTATCTAGAGTGAGTCACTATCTCGAAGATTCGGCGGAGAAGGTTCGAGCGTAGCGCGCTCGGGGCGAGAATGAACACGCACTTTCTAGAACAACATAAGCGGGGATAAACGATAGAAGTTATGTCCGGAACAAGAATAAACGAGAAAGTTCTAGAAGTCCGTGACCCCTGCGCGCGGCAATATTTCGGAGGCACGGGTCGATTTTAAAAAGTGGCTTGTGGTATGTTGAGGATATCCAGAGCTTCTTGAATTCCTCTTTTCCAAACAACCTAATATGGAATCGAGCGTCAGTTTTTGTAAATGGGACGACCTCCGTAGTATCCATATAATGTCCTCTAGCAGCAGCAGCATCTGCGGTCTCATTTCCAGTTACGCCTATGTGCCCTGGTATCCACTGTAACACTACATGATGTCCATTTCTTTTGATAGTTCCATAAGTAAATAAAACTTCAAAACACAAATGTGGATTTGATGAAGAGGCAGGTGAATGCCTTAATGATTGAAGAGCAGCGCGTGAATCAGTCAGGATGACCCATTTTTGTGAGTTTGCTTGCGAGTTAATACACTGGAGTGCCATCTTTATTCCGTGCAATTCCGCAGTTGTTGAAGGAACACTATGGGAAAGTTTGTAACTACGAGTTGTCTTGAGTACAAGAATTACTATTGCAGAGGATGATGTGCCGGTATACGAAGATCCGTCCGTGTATACGTGTATGTGGTCGAAATACGTGTAGTGAATATGGCTTAGTGTGTGTTGCAGCTTAACGGTTTGCGGTTGTACTGTTTTTTGGGTGAGGCCTGGTACATTAATATGAATTTCTGGCATTGGTATTGTCCAGGCAGGACAAGATGATGTTGCATAATATTTAGTCGAAACTGGTATGTCGGAACACAGCGCTTCGATGGCTTTACCGTATCCCGAAGCTGGTCTTTTGTGGCTCAAATTCACGAGAAAATGCCTTTTGTTTCGTGATTTATGTCTTAAATGCACTCGTAGTGTCTCCTGCGTACGCATGATTGCCAGGGGAACTGTTCCTGCTTCTGCTGTTGTACCATTAACTGATGTTCCCTCAGGCACACCAAGACAAATTCTTAAGGATTTGTTTATTTCTGCTTGAAGACTTTTGGTGTTCGTGATCGAGATGTTTTGTATAGGACAGGCAAGCTATACCTGAGAAGGGAATTGATCAAGGTGTTCTGGAGTTTCAACATGGATGAGCATGACTTGCCCCATGTTTTCCCTGTCAGACAGCGAAGTACATTGCACGCGGAACCAAGCTTTGACTTAAGGTATTTTATATGCGGAGTCCAAGTTAAGTTTTTATCAAGTATATAACCGAGAAACTTGTGTGTTGGCTTGTATGGGATGGTATTCCCAGCCAAGACCAGAGGGAAACGTTTTACAGACATTCGTGTGAAAGCCATTGCCACTGTTTTCTCTGGAGATAAGCACATGCCACGTTCTCGTAGGATCGGCTAACGCCGGCAAGAGCCTGTTGAAGTCTTCTTTGACTGACAAATCGATTTGAATGTGTTCACCAGATACATATGTCGTCTGCGTAGATTGATAGGTGTATTTGGTTCGAAAGTTTCCGTCGCACAGACATTAGTGTGATATTAAAGAGCGTAGGACTTAGGACGCCTCCTTGTGGAACCCCTCGTTCTATGATATGGTATTTTGTGTTTCCTTCAATTGTTTGCATGAAAATAGTTCGCTGTGTTAGATACTCTTTCACCCAGTTAAAGATTTTTCCGCCGAATCCATGCTCAGCCATTGCAGTCAGAATTGCTTCATGTTTGATGGAATCAAATGCCTTTTGAATGTCTAAAAATATGGCGAGAGTCTTTTCCCCATTGGCAATGCCTTGCTCAACCGAACTAACGAGATCGATTACACTGTCTGTTGTGGAACGCCCTGCGCGAAACCCTGACATTTCTTCTGGATATAAGTTTGAGTTTTCGATATACCATGTTATTCTGGTCAGAATCATACGCTCGATTATCTTACATACGCAACTGGTGAGCACGATTGGTCGAAACGACCCTAGTTCGAAGGGAGATCGTCCAGGTTTCAGAACAGGGATAACTTTGCCCCGCTTCCAGTCATGTGGGAGCACACCGTTAGCGAATGATTCGTTATAGTATTCGAGGAGTCTGCGTCTTGAGTGTTCATTCAATCGTGTGAGTGCAGAGTACGTTACGGCATCTGGACCAGGGGATGACCTTTTTTTTTGAGTCCTGCAAGGCGTGACCCAGTTCCTCAAGAGTAAAAGGCATGTCTAGGGCTATCTCTTTTGCCGTCACCGAAACAACTGCTGGATGTTTTTGAGTGCTGGGGTAGGAGGAGTTCTGGCCAATGAGACTGCAAAACGCCTCAGCAATCTCTATATCGGCACAACCTTGGCGTAATGCAAGGGCTCTGAATGGGTATATCTGTTGAGGAGGTGTTCTGATCCCACGTATAACTTTCCAGAGCAGAGAGAGGTGTTTTTTTGCATCCAGAGGCGCGCAAAGTTCTCTCCATCGACGCCTGCTGAGTGCATCAAGATAGTTGCGTACCTTCTTTTGTGTCCTTCGTACATTGCGATAATCTTCCGGGTCCTTTGT